CAGGCGGTTGCCCTGTTTAAGTTTGGCATGCAGGTGCTGGCCTACTTTTGTGGGCTGAGGTTCCAACAACAATTTAATTTTCAGAGACTTTGCAGTGTTATTTTCACCTGCTTGGTTTATCTGTGCTGCTGGGGCTCCCGCCTGTTCCTGCTGCTGCTGCCAGAGAGAGCAGAAGGAGTTTCCCCAGGCCAGGTTGCCCAGGGTCCCTTGGCAGGGGAGGTGGGTCTCAGGCCAGGTGTGGAAGGAGAGTGCTTTCCCTGGCTGCTTGTTGTTAGTGGGCTTCTGACAAACTCCCCTTGCTCGTGATGCTGCAGTTGTCTGGTATTGTCAGTGGGACTCCTGTTCAATTTGAGAGAGGAATAAACCTACCCGGGTCATCCTTTGTTGGGTACGTGGGTGTGAGACACCTGCTGCTGAGTTGTTCCTTCAACTTAGGGTCCTAAACCGATTAGTCATCCTTCTCCCACGTTTCTGAGTTACCCTTTAAGTGCCTCTTGCATATTTCCATGGTTTATCATTGTACTTAACAGAGAAGAACAGGGAGAAATGAGTCCCACATTGTGTGGGCCAGAAGTCGTCTTCGCAATAATTTTTTAAAAGTGCAGCACCAAAGAGCCCAGTGGCAGTCAGCATGCGTGAAAGGCCTTGTGACCTGGGGGGCTTCGCTCTACATAGATCTGACTGTCTCTTTGAGGTCCCTTCGTTATTGATATCTTTTTTTTTTTTTTCTTCTAGACTGTCAGAGTTCAGGGAGGCTGAGAACCTAAGTTCTGGCTTCTACCTTGGGGAAGGACCACTGATGTGGGACTGTCCCAAACATAGAAAGACTATTTAGGAGATATGAGGAGACCACCAAGGGTGACAAATGTCTGCCACATATGGACATATAACATGGCTACTCCAGCAAATACTCCACAGCCAAGTCACCACCCCACAAGCCTTTACTGGGGGTGAGGCCTGCTCATGCAATGAGGGCTGCAGACGTTGTTGAGTTTCTTGGCACATTTGTAAGGTGTTCTCTGACCTTGGCAAAACACGTGTAAATTTTCTTAAGATTTTCACTTAGTATTTTTTTTTTTCTTTTTTAAAAAGGTTTTATTTGTTTATTTGACAGAGACAGCAAGAGAGGGAACACTAGCAGGGGGAGTGGGAGAGGGAGAAGCAGGCTTCCCGCAGAGCAGGGAGCCCGATGCGGGGCTCCATCCCAGGACCCTGGGATCATGACCTGAGCCGAAGGCAGACGCTTAACAGCTGAGCATCCAGGCATCCCTCACTTGGTATTTTTCTTAAATAACCCTTGTGATATGCTAAGATTCCTAATGAAGGCAGAACATGAATAGGCAAACTGGATGAAGCTCAAAATAATTATCTGAGCAAAAGAAGTCAGAACAAAAAGACAGACAGATGGGACTCCATGATTCTGCTTATATAAAACTTCAGAAAATGCAAATGGATGATGGTGACAGAAAGCAGATCAGTGACTGTCTAGGCTTGGGGTGTTGTAGGGAGAGATGAGGGAGGGATTAAAAAAGGGCATGAGGACATGTGGCTGATGGATACATTTTCTAACTTGATTGTGGTGCTGGTTTCATGGATATATATATATGTATATATAGCCAAGGTTTCATGGGTATATATATATATATGTATGTATACATATATGTATGCACGCATGCATGCATGTATATGTATGTATGTATATGTATGCATGTATGTATGTATACATATACATGTATATACATATATATCAAAACTTATCAAATTGTGGGGTACTTGGGTGGCTTAGTTGGTTAAGTTTCTGCCTTCGGCTCGGGTCATGATCCAGGGTCCTGGGATCGAGCCCCACATCGTTGGACTCCCTGATCAGTGGGGAGTCTGCTTCTCCTTCTTCCTCTGTGGACCCCCCCACCGCCATCATGCTCTCTATCTCTATCTCATGCTCATGTGCTCTCTCTCTCAAATAAATAAATCAATAAAATCTTTAAAAAAACTTACCAATTGTACACTTTAAATATGTGCCGTTCATTTATGTCACTTATGCGTCAACAAAGCTGTTTAAAAAAACAAAAACAAAAACAAAAACAAAATCATAAGACTGATCCCTATTTGCTGGCCATCTAAATTTCAGTTTCTGTAAAAGGGCGTAAATAATAACTACCTCATAATTTTGGGTAAGATTAAATGAGTAAAAATTAGGGGCGCCTGGCTGGCTCAATCAGTTAAGCATCTGCCTTTGGCTCAGGTGGTGATCCCGGGGTCCTGGGATGGAGCCTCCACAGCGGGCTCCCTGCTCAGCGGGGAGCCTGCTTCTCCCTCTCCCTCTGTCCCTCCCCCCACTTGTGTGCTCTCTCTCTTTCAAATAAATAATCTTTAAAAAAAAATAAATGAGTAAAAATTAAAAGGATGAAGTGAGATGACATTCTCCCTTGATTCGACTGAAAGCCACGCAGTCATGCTCTGTCCCTCTCTCTCCTGTACTCACGTCCAATCCCTGGCCGGCTCCCTGGGTGACTACCAGAGTGGCTGGGGGCAGAGTGGACAGGATCGGCCATGACCTGGTGACTAGATAGTTGCTGAAATGGGGAGGTGGGTACATGGGAAATTGGCATATTATTCTCTCTACTTGTGGATATATTTACATTTCCCATAACTACAATTAAAAAATAAGCAGTGGCTCCCCATTTCACTGAAGGGAAAAACTGGCCCACGTGGCCCTACATGATTCCCCCACCCTTACCCCTCTGCCCTTATCTCCTCCTACTCACCTCCTCATTCATTGTTCCAGCCCCACCGGCTTCCTCCCTGTTTTTGGAACCTGCCAGATGCGCTCCTGCCTCAGGGCCTTTGCTCGAGTTGTACCCCTGCCCCCTCCCTGGAATCCTCCTATCTCCTGGCTTGAACCTGCTCAAAAAGAGTCCTCTCAGTGAGTCCAGGCTGACTGTTCCACTAAAATTATTACCACCACCACCTGTCCCTTTCCATGCCCCCTTCTCTGCTACTTGTCACTTAGCAGTTATTATCATCTGACATCTTGTATAACTACTTGTTGCTGACCACCCCCACCACTTTGGCTGAAACTAAGTTCCATAAAGACAGGAATTCCTGCCTGATGTGTTCACTGTTGAATCCTTAGCACTGAACAGAGTGCACAGTGGGTTCTTGATGAATGAATGAGCTACATATAAATATGCTAGTGGAATGCCTGGGAGGGAGTGAGCACTATGGGATTCATCATAATCTAAAAATATGTCATTGAGTCATTTGATAAACATAAGTTAATTGTTCCGTATGTACTTTCTGTCCTGGTCTTTGGAAAATGAAGCTACCACTAATTTTTTTGTCGTTAATTTGTGGGAAGCAGTATGGTAGGGAGGGATTCCCACAGTCTGTGGAGGTGAGCAGATCTGCTTGGAATCCTGGCTCGGCCACTTGCCAGCTATGTGACCTGCCCAAGTTGCGCAGCCCCTCAGAGCCTGATCTCCTCACTGACGGTGCCTGTTGGAAATGCCCTGCATTGGGGGCGAGGCTGGAAGCCCTGGGATGAGACTTTACCCCTTCCGCAAGAGGGACAGGACCACCTCCAGGACCTGCCCGGCTGCGTGCCCCTCTAAGACCTGCTGGTGGGGTGTGCAAACGATGGTTGAGGGCACTGCTCAGGGACAGGCAGTGACACCTCTGAGATCACAAAAGGAGAGGTAACTCAGCCTTGGCCCATCCTGAGGTCCCCTCTCCAATCCCTCTGCCCCTCAAGCCTGAGGTTATAAACAAGTGACTCAGAGGAATGATGGGAGACTGCCCCATAATAGTTTACACTAGTGCCCTGGGGGCTAAATTTAACCCACAGCTGCAGCTTCTGGCACTTTGGGAACAAGTTAATCTTGGTGGCTGAGGCTGATTGTGTGTGTGTGTGTGTGTGTGTATGTGTAGTGTGGGAAGAGTGGTAAGTCCAGAGAAGGCTGGGCATCAGGACTGGCTATCCTGGGCCTCTACCCCGACACCCCTTAGATGGTAGACAGGGTGCAAGGACCCCAAGGCCAAGGTAGACTCAGGTCAAGCTTAGTATGGACCAAGAACAGTTAGCATAGACAGCTATCCTGGAATATTAAACTCTTAGAGTGTTACTTTTTGAACACTAGAATCCAGACTGTCACTCCGCTAGAATGTTAAAACCCTGGGAATTTAAATACCTAGAATAGTTGAAGCCTAGGAAATTACTTTTCTAGCACGTCTGACACCTTACAATGTTAAAACCCCGTGACAGCGTACTCCCAGGAACACTGAGCCTCAGTGCTTCTGAATCTCAGCAGAACTGTAACTGAGGCCCTTAGAATCTAACTCATCCAACTCCCCATTGTGTGGAAAGGGAAACTGAGGCTCAACAGAGCCACGTGACCTGTGCAGGCCCTTCAGAAAAGAAGTGACTGTGTTTACCTAAGGCACCTTTTTGCTTTCTTGCACAGTCTAAGGAGGGTCTCAGATCTGGAGTAGAAAGGGGTAAAGGTCTTCCCATTTTAAAGGTAGGGCAATAAGGTCCCCTATGAGTGAATGCCTTTCCAAGTTCACTGAACAGGAAACCCAAGCACACTGTATCCAAGGGTGGACGGGGTGAGATATACTCCAGGGAGGAAGATGAAGCACCCAGACAGAAAGGCCCAGAAGGCATGAACGAAGGGAGATCGTGGAAGAGGGACACCAAAGCTTCTCGCTCCCTGGCCTGAGGGGCAGAGCTTGGGTCATCACGGGCCCTCAGGGGCACCGCCTGACCAAGGAATGTAGTCGAGGCCTTGCTGTGCTCCATTTAGAAATGAGGCAGCGAGGCCCTCATAGGCCCAAATACCCCACCCCTGTCCCGTGAGCCCCTGGGGCTGAGTCAAGGCTGCTCTGGGAGGGGGCCTCTGCCCAGCTGTCCCCTGTGCGTCATGCGCAGGAAGCCAGGCAGCTCGCCTTACAGGGCCCTGTCCACCTCTATATATAGCCCCGCGAAGACAGCTGCGTAGACCGATTGTGACCCAGCAGGAAAGCAGGGGAGTAGAAAGAGGAGGCCCCTGGCAAGGCACTGGCACCCCAAGCCACCCATCATGACGCTGGGCTTGGAGCAGGCGGAGGAGCAGCGTCTGTACCAGCAGACGCTCCTGCAGGACGGGCTCAAGGACATGCTGGACCACGGCAAGTTCCTCGACTGTGTGGTGCGGGCCGGTGAGCGCGAGTTCCCGTGCCACCGCCTGGTGCTGGCCGCCTGCAGCCCCTACTTCCGGGCGCGCTTCCTGGCCGAGCCTGAGCGCGCGGGCGAGCTGCGCCTGGAGGAGGTGTCCCCGGCCGTGGTGGCGCAGGTGCTGCACTACCTGTACACGTCGGAGATCGCGCTGGACGAGGCGAGCGTGCAGGACTTGTTCGCCGCGGCGCACCGCTTCCAGATCCCGTCCATCTTCACCATCTGCGTGTCCTTCCTACAGAAGCGCCTGTGTCTCGCCAACTGCCTGGCCGTCTTCCGCCTCGGCCTCCTGCTCGACTGCGCGCGCCTGGCCGTGGCCGCCCGCGACTTCGTCTGCGCGCGCTTCTCGCTCGTGGCGCGCGACGCCGACTTCCTCGGGCTCTCGGCCGACGAGCTCATCGCCATCATCTCCAGCGACGGCCTCAACGTGGAGAAGGAGGAGGCCGTGTTCGAGGCGGTGATGCGGTGGGCGGGCAGCGGCGACGCCAAGACGCAGGAGGAGCGCCAGCGCGCGCTGCCCACCGTCTTCGAGAGCGTGCGCTGCCGCCTGCTGCCGCGGGCCTTCCTGGAGAGCCGCGTGGAGAAGCACCCCCTCGTGCGCGCCCAGCCCGAGCTGCTGCGCAAGCTGCAGATGGTGAAGGACGCGCACGAGGGCCGCCTCACCGTGCTGCGCAAGAAGAAGAAGGACACGGGGCAGGAGGCAGCCGGGGCCAAGGCTGCTGGCAAGGGCACGGGCGAAGCCAAGGCGGAGGACGACGAGGAGGAGGCTGAACGCATCATCCCCGGGATCCTCAATGACACTCTGCGCTTTGGCATGTTCCTGCAGGACCTCATCTTCATGCTCGGTGAGGAGGGGGCCGTGGCCTATGACCCAGCGGCCAACGAGTGCTACTGTGCCTCGCTCTCCACCCAGATCCCTAAGAACCACGTCAGCCTTGTGACCAAGGAGAACCAGGTCTTTGTGGCTGGGGGCCTCTTCTACAACGAGGACAACAAGGAGGACCCCATGAGTGCTTACTTCTTGCAGGTGCCTGCCCAGCCCTGGGAAGGGCAGCCAGTGCCGGGTTCTGGGAACGGGGGCGGGGGTGGCGGTCGGCTTTGGGGCCCATGAGAGGCTTGTGTCTACTTGTTGGGGGCTGTTATTGGGTCTAGGATGAGATGTAGACCAGGGAGGTTGACTGAGAGCCACTTGCCTGAAGTCTTGAAGGCAGTTATAGGCAGTTGACAATTAGCTGCGTAACTCTGATGTCTCTTTCAGGGGGATGTGAGCCCCAGGGAGGTCTGATATGTTGGAGGCCCTGTCTCTGCACAGGGATTGAGGTCAGGCACAGTGAGAAGGAGGAGCAAGGTCAGTGTAGGGGTCAGTCTGGGGCAGGACCTTTGCGTGAGGCCCGGACTGGAGTATAGAACAGAGTGTCCCAAACAAAGGGAGCATCCTGCCTAGTCTTCTCACTGTACAGATGAGAAAACCAGATGAGGCCCAGAAAGGACCAGTTGAGTGGGGTGACCAGTCCAAGTTGTAGTGTCTCATGGGATCTCAGAGGGCAGAGATGGTTCCCTGCTGACTGGCCATGTAGGTTTGAGTCCTGCCATCTGGGTGGAATTTGGACACTTGAAGGGGAAGTTAGGGTGTTTCTGCCTGAGGAATGGTGAGCAAGGGACAGAGACTGGAATGAGCCCAGCGAGTGGTGAGCTCAGTGAGGCCTGACCAGGTGTGGAGAAGGGTGAGGGGCAACTCGGTACCAGGGTTAAACCGGGGGCAGGGAGGGAGGGGGGCAGCTCCACCAGCCAAAGCATATCATGGACCTTGCTTATTTTCTCTGGGGATATTATCCTTCCTGCTTGATAAGGTTGTTTGAAGGTTACAGATGGTTATAAAGTGTTCATCAGCACATTGCTCAGCCTTCAGAAAACTTTCCAGAAAGATGAGCCACAAATATCGTTGTAAGACTATGGAGATGGGACAGGGCCGCAGACTTACACTGTAGATTTTAAGGGAGGAGGGGCAGAGCTGTATTTGGAGGTTTTCTGTGCAGTGGGCTGGGGTGGAAAACAGAGGGCAGGCAGGCCTCAGTTCTGGAGTCGTAGTGGGAAGGGACAGGTCTCTGCGTGGGGTGCCCCATCGTGGTGCTGTAATGTGGTCTCTGGGCGCCGACCTCCGGAGGGCCTCGGTTGTTCTCAGCCTGGTAGGAGGATAGGGTACTGTCTCCAGGGATGGCCTCCAGGCTGCGTTGGCCCTAGCTGGAGACCTGGCCTCCTCTGTGACCCGGGGTGGCTGGGGGAGTGCGGGCGTGGAGGCCGGTGGCTGACTGCACGCCCGGCCCGCAGTTTGACCACCTGGACTCCGAGTGGCTGGGGATGCCGCCGCTGCCCTCGCCGCGCTGCCTCTTCGGCCTGGGAGAGGCTCTCAACTCCATCTACGTGGTCGGCGGCCGAGAGCTCAAGGACGGCGAGCGCAGCCTAGACTCGGTCATGTGCTACGACCGGCAGTGAGCAGGGGCCGGGGGCGGGGTTGAGGAG